TCCCACATGAATGCAATGATCTGTTATTAAGTTTTTCTATTAAATATTACCATCACAGCAATTTTAAGTACCTTTAAATTTTCCCAAACATGCTTAGTCAGCATTTTTTTTATGGTGATGATGTGTTGTAGGTTCCTTCTTATGTGATGCTGGGAATTCCTAAGCACGAGGAAGCACCTCCGACTCCACAACATCCTCTTTCTGCCATGGGTGATGCCTGTTCAAGGATGGACCTTACGGCCATCCATCAGATTTTGTTAATGACACACTACAAAGATGATGAAGGAAGCAATGAGGTAGTTGAATTGTGCAAAAGTAGGTTTAGATGGTTCTCTGGTTGGCTTTCTGAAAGTTTTTGTCTTTGGCGTTAGTTGTCTTTCCAAGAATGGACTCAGCAAATGAAAGATATGTTGGAGGCAAGAAAACGTGGGGACTTGGCATTTCGTGACAAAGATTTTAGATCTGCAATTAACTGCTATTCCCAGGTATTTATTCTGCAATGTACTGAGAATGGGTAGTGCCCAAGGGAAAGTACCCCATTTCTCGTCAAGAACTTTTAACTTGATAAGTTTTTCATGCACAAGGGGTTAGGGCACTTCAGTTCTTCTCCCCTAGATAATGAGTGTCGAATTAGCATGACTTCATAGTACGGAGGACAATGCTGCTGGAAGTTTGTTAATAAATGAGATCTCGATCGTGATGTTGAGAAAAACATTATTCATATTAGAGTCTAAGCAGTTTTTGTAATTGGTACATTGTCTCGTTGAACTGTGCAGAACTTCATACATTATAGAGGATTTATAAGGGGATGATAATTCATGTCATGATGTTTAGATTTACGGCCATCTTAATTTTACTGCAGCGCTCCCCTTGTTATGGTTCATTAATTTCATTCAACTGATATTGTAGTTCATAGATGTTGGGACTATGGTTTCCCCCACGGTGTATGCAAGAAGAAGTCTATGTTATCTCCTCTGTGATCAGCCAGATGCTGCCCTCCGAGATGCAATGCAAGCACAATGTGTCTACCCTGACTGGTCCACTGCATTTTACATGCAGGCGGTTGCTCTTGCCAAGCTAGATATGCACAAGGATGCAGCCGACATGCTGAATGAGGCTGCTGCCCTCGAAGAAAAAAGACATCGGGGAGGCAGATGATATGAGAGAGAAGAGGACCCTGAAATGCTCTGTAATTATTTTTGTTGTATTGAAGTTGCTCCAGCTGTTGTAACTTGTAACAAAAATGTAGGGTTATCATGTACAACTGGGTAAGAGAGTAAGTTTCAGCCCAAACGTGTGCAATATATAGGTAGAGGGAGATGCTTGTATCTTGTGTATCAACTACTACGCCATTCTTTTCCTCTAATTTTTCATTGAATAATTAATTGCTTCTTAATGTGTCCTTGTATATATGAAACTTATAATACAACAGTTTTGCGATGTCGCGGGGTGATATGTAATACATGAATTTGCTCCGAGTCGAGCGTCTGTCTAACTAAGCGACATATAGCTCAGCCTTTCCATCAATAAAGAGGCTCATGAACTCTTCACCGTCAACAGTTTCCTTCTCCATGAGGAGCTGGGCAAGCGTGTGGAGGATATCGATGTGAGTTGTGACGATATCCTTGGCCCTTGAATAAGCTGTCTCTACCAATTCCCTTACCTCTGCATCCACCACATCAGCAGTTGCCATGGAGTAGTCTTTTTGGGACGACATCTGCAAATTCAAACATATAGTTTCCATCACTTCTCTTGTATGATTGTATCCCATAGGCATTTGATTAAACAGTTAATAAACTACCGTATTCGATTATAGTCTCTACCTGTTGCCCTAAGAAGGGATTGCCACCAGAAGCACCGATCGCGACTTGTCCAATCTTTTTGCTGAACCCAAATCTCTCAACCATCTGCCTTGCCACCCTTGACACTTGCATGAAATCACTAGAAGCCCCTGTTGTCACATTCTCCTGACCAAAGATAACTTCTTCGGCAACTCTGCAATGGCAGGACAATGGGGTCAGAATAAAATTTCTCATATACATACACTAGACTTCCAATATCAGCTCAAATTCAATAGGGAAGAATCATTAGACTGTTTTAAAGCAGTTTAAACTGAAGAGTTTGTATGACCAACCTTCCACCGAGGGCAACAGCCATTTGATTCTCCAGGTAGCTTCTACTGTATAGTCCAGACTCGAGTCTCTCTTCACTGGGAGCAAAGAATGTTAGACCGCCGGCTTGGCCACGAGGAATGATGGATATCTTAGCAACAGGATCGTATTCCGGCATCAATGCACCAACAAGAGCATGCCCCGCCTCTGCAAAAGAATCACGTAACAGATGAATTAAAAATCCAAACCAAATAATAGCAAATCACAAGTTAATATTGGATATGGGGGAGAACCGGTCTTGTTCTATATAGTATATACCATGGTAGGCGACTAATTTCTTCTTATCCTCTGAGACAACAGCATTTTTCTTCTCGGGTCCTGCAATGATCCGCTCCAGAGCATCGGAGATCTCGTCTTTACTTATTTCTTTGAGATCACGTCTGGCTGCGAGAATGGCAGCCTCATTCATCAGGTTCTGCAGATCAGCCCCTGTGAAACCAGGTGTTCTCCTTGCAATTTTGTCAAAGTCCACATCCTTTGCAAGCGCCTTCCCTCTGGAATGCACCTGCCATTCGAAAATGCTTCAGTTGAGAGAATATGGAGTGTACAATTCTAGCAAAACACCTTCAACCACACTAAATTTCGAAACAACCGTGCAAACCAATACGGTTTACAAGCATGCATAAAATTCAATGTACACAACATATAATTTGCTTAAGCAGATATGTAAATGGATTTCATGCTAATTAAGACTGATAAACAAGTACTGATTCTAGGCATCAGTTCTAACCTGCAGGATTTTAACTCTGCCAGCAACATCAGGCCTGTCGACGGTCACCTGTCGGTCAACCTCCCGGGCCTCAACAATGCCGAATCGAGAACATCCGGCCTGTTGGTTGCCGCCAAAACTATCACACCGGAATTACCAGAAAACCCATCCATCTCCGTCAGCAGCTGATTAATAGTTTGCTCCCTCTCATCATTCCCGCCGCCCATTCCCGCGCCTCTCTGCCTCCCCACCGCATCTATCTCATCAATGAACACAATGCACGGCGCTTTCGACTTGGCCTTCTCGAACAAGTCCCGTACTCTCGACGCCCCCACTCCCACAAACAACTCCACGAACTCGGAAGCCGCGCACGAGAAAAACGGCGTCCCAGCCTCGCCGGCCACAGCGCGAGCCAGAAGGGTCTTCCCGGTACCAGGTGGGCCCACCAAAAGACATCCTTTTGGGATTTTGGCGCCGAGGGCGGTGTACTTGTCTGGGTTCTTCAAGAAATCCACCACCTCCTGCAGCTCCAATTTTGCTTGGTCAGCTCCAGCTACATCGGCGAAAGTCACCCCCGTTTCCGGAACTTCTTGGAATTTGGACTTGGACCTTCCGAAATCCATGGGCCCGCCCAGGCCGCCCGGCCCTCCTGGGCCTCCTCCAGCACGCCGGAAGAGGAGGAACAATCCGGCAAAGGCCAAGATTGGGAACAACAAATTGCCGATGATATTGAACAGCCCACCTCCCGAATCGCCTTCGGAGACGGAAATATCGACGCCGTTCATGGCCAAAATGTCGATGAGGTCAGGGTCGTTGGGGACAACGACAGAGGCGCGGCGGCCATCGACGGCAGTGAGCTGAAGGGCAGAACCGTCTTTCATGAACCTGACTCTCTCGACTTTGCCCTTCTTGACGGCGTTGAGGAACTCGCTGTAGCGCCATTGGCTGCCTTCGGGGAGGTCAGTGGCGACCTGGGATTGGGGCTTAGGGGCGTTGAGGAGGAGGTTTTGGGAGAAAGGAGAGGCGGCGTTGGATTTGGAAGGCTGGGGTTGGAGTACGGGTGGCGGCGTGGGAGTGGGGGTGTTGTCTATGGCTAGGGCTTGTGGGGTGAGTGAGGAGAAGAGCAGGGCGGCTAAAGTGGCTTGGGAAGCTGCGGATTTTAACGGCTCCGAATCGGGTTGAGAGTTGAAGATGTTTTTGGTGGCGAAAAGCTTTCGCTTGGAGAAGAAGGGCAGGGGAATTGGGAGGGATGAGTTGGATTTGGAGGTGGTTTTAGGTGTGGGCGGAGAGTGGAGGACTGTGGTGGCTCCGAAGAAGTTGGAAAAGAGCAAAGGGTTGGTGGTGGAAGCCATGGCCTGGGTGCAGGTGCCGGTCTGTTATCTGTTGGTGTTGGATAAAAAAACACAGCTATTTCTTTCGAAATTACGATTTTTTATTCTTGCTGTATTATTAGACTGGAGAAGAGGGGAAATGAATGTTAAAGCGGATTCAGCTTTATAGGGAAAAGAGAGTCCAAAATACATTAATCGTGGCAAGCTGGGAGCTGTGAATGTTTATTTGATATGTTTATTGGAAGACCCTTTTTCACTTGGATTTTGATTCAACCAGCGTGTTGATTATGTTCTCTCTGCTTTCAAACGAAACAACACCATAAAATGATTGTTGCTTGGGTTGCGCCTACGTGTTCAATATGCCATCCATTCATTCATTATTTGTCGTTTTTATTAAGTTTCTCGTTGATTTTTTCACTCGTGTAGACTAGAGAGTGTTGAACTGATATGGATCCAGGAGCCCATCCCTTTTCTGAGATGGAGATGAGGCTTTTGAGTTTATTTGAATCGGACTGTGCTTATGGGCCTTCTGGGCGACCATACACCTGCAACCGCAACTCCTCCCAAGTGCAAAATTGATCTCCAACTCAAGTCAAAAGTAAAATCAATCAACCTGCAATGTCATGCACTCTCTACTCTCCTAACATACAATAAACTCTACATTCCATGTAACTTCTTTACCTACTCAACGTTTGCTTTATGACACACGTATGCCCATATGATTTCTTTTGCACCTCCGGAGGAATTTCAGGTGCTGAAAAATTCAAGCAATTCAAGCGAAACCAAAAGGGAACAGAAAGGTACCACAATACCAGCATCATAAATTTAGCATTCCGAAACGGAGTTTGATGTCATCAACACCATTCGCATCACAATATTTTTCTTCACAATCACTTTATTAAACGGAAATTAAGAAAGATGCACCATTTACGCTTTCACTAGTATCCCGCCGAATAAGCCCTTTATGTTATCAACTCTTGGCTCTTCCACAGGATCCCTGCAACAATACGGTAAGGGCACGGTTCAATTGTTTCTTTCGACATTTCCTTCAATGCGAAAAAATTAGTTGCACAAACTTTTAAGTCTGTTTGAGAACACCCAAAAATAAAGATAACAGGCACGGGTCCTCGAACTCATGGACTTCCTCAATTACTAGCCTCTTTCTTCAAATGAAAACCAAGGGGGAAGTAGGGTATCAACAAGCATAAATCAAACCAAACCAAAACTAACTTGTCGTGATGATCTCTATTTGGGCAACATCCTTGTTTTCAGAATTTACTTCATTCAAAGAACCTGAACTACTAAGCCTAGACCTTAAAATGAAAGGCATATAATCATCGATGAACAGCGTGTACGCATGGTAACAACTGATCAAACCCAGTTGGTAGCCAAAAGCTCTACTCTAAATAGGAGTTCATGAGTTCAAACCCCACTCCGCAAATGTCACAATTGATCAAAGGAGAAAAAGTACACATGAAGCAAACAAAATACAGTGGATCATGCAAAGTATCTGATAAGTGGTGGTCAAGTCGTTGTACCGGTACCTAATGATGATCATCGTGGCCGTCCCAGGGGTGCCTCCAACCCTAAAAGACATAATAAGAAAGTGAGTACCATGAGTGTATAAATTTGCAGAGAAAAGTCAAACAAGAGAAGCTCTTACCAAAACTACAGGACCATCCTTCTTGGCCCTGTACAGTACCCAAAACCTGATACATCAAAATTTAAACAAAACCGTAAGCTACCGCGGTTGCATGATTCAAATACCTAGCACTTTTACTAGTAAAAATTATTAAGTTGAATCCGTTCAATCTGCATTATCTCTATGCAGGAACCCAGGTTAACACCAATAGAAAACTTGTCCCAGGTTCAAAACTTTATCCCATGATTCCAACTCGTATTGAAAGCACCACAAAAACCTTAAATTGGTCCGGAAGCTTACCGGTAAGAAAAAGATACAAAGTAATGTCTGATAGTATAGCTTTATATAAGCTACTCATCAACCAGATGTTGCCTAAGTCAATTTCGGCTGAGAAGAAATCCTTGATTTTTCATCTCCACAACTATTCAACTTCCTGAATCCCCAACTTAAATCCCAACATTTAAGAGAATTCCAAATTCCTCATGTCTAAGTTCCTAACCAATCGATCCCTACTCGTATTGAGCTGCCGGAATCCCCAAATTGAATCCCAACATTCAAGCGAATGAATTGCAATTTCTTCCTATTAGCATTTTCAGGTCTAAGTTCCTAACAATCGATGCCCAAACATGAGTCCGAAATTCCGAAAACATTAGAAATTGTACCAAAAGACAAGATTAAACCAACACGGCAGCAGATCCAACATAACAGAAATTTGACCAATGCTAATGTACAGATTAAATGGGGAGAGTAGACGGAGTTTACCACATCACAGCACACATGCCTTTGCCGGTGAGGGTGTGCCACCGCTTTGGCTGATGCACCGTGATTCCCTTGTATGTTATGCCCTCTCCGTGTCCTCCTCCCATCTTCGCCGATAACTCTCTCTTTCTCCGTCTCTATTTGAGCTAGCTACCCCTACACTCTGAAATCTCTCTCAATTGAGGAGCGCTCCAGACCCGATAACAACTCCATTATTCCCGACCCACTTTTGCTTCCCATGAGTCCATGACGACGAACCTATTTCCCATCGTGGGCTTCGCTTGATTAGTTCAGCTGCAAGCCCCAGCTTCAAGATAAATTCATAGCTTTTGGAATCAGCATTAGCCCAATACAGGCCCATAGAAAACAAAGTTTTTTTCTTGACAAATGATAAACTCAATAAGTAAACTGGTTGCAAATTCGTTATGTTCATGATAAAATTAAAATAAAACATAATTTTTATCATATTTTTCGAAGATAGTGTGATGGTGTTCTTTTGATACAAGCGAAAATTTGAGATAAAATACATAATGACTTAAGTTTAGATATCAAACTAAACACAAAAATAAATCGTCTTGTAATGCAAATATATAGTATTTGCCTAGTTTTTTTTTAAAAGAGGTGAAATTAATATTCTCTCCTCCTCACTCTCCTGCCTCCCTGTCAAAACGCAGAAACTCCAACAAAAATTCTCCCCGGTATACTAGTCTTCCTTTCACCATGAAATTGATAATCATCGTTCCAAGTTACACAAACGACGACGAAAATATTTCGAGCAAACTCAACATTTGATCTATAACTGAACAAAAAAGATATCCAAACTCCGAAGATGTAAGGGAAAAAATATTGAAAATTTAAATATTCGTCCATGCTCATCTTTTTCTCTCCCATAATTGTTAGTTTGCTAACATTTTTCTCTCAAAAAGCTCAATTCCTGTTTCAAAATTCTCCATAAATTTAAGGAATTGTTATTAGCACTTCTAAAATCTCATTCTACACTCCAAACTTTCTTTATTTAGAAGAAAAAAAAACACTTATAATAAGCGTAGAATAAAATTTTTGGAATGCCAATAACACTTCACTAAATTTATGTTACAACCACACCCACTTTCTACTTATTAAAATGACTTCTTTAGCTTTTAATTGGAGAGTTGTGGGGCCCACCTTATTTTTTTTTTATGTCTTGGTTTCCAGTTTCTCTCTCTCTTCTTCCCTCTCTTCCCGAAACTCATCTCAGAACCTCTCTCTCTCTTTTTTTCTGTTTCTTCTTCTCTCTCTAACTCTCTAAGCTCCGAGAACTCCCAACCTCTCTTCCCTTCAACAAAAAATCAAGCCCAAAATCTATATATTCGGAATCCTTGAGACCCAACGAACTCAATGGTACCCTTGCATGCGCCATCAGAGCATCGTGGAGTTTTCTGCCATTGAAGCCGAGAGCTTCAAACCTCTAAAACTCGAACCCAGGTGAGAAGTGTGTTCCTTCTTCAAATCTCTGGGTTATGCATGTTGGTTTTATGACAAAACTCAAGGGTTTTGATCTCAGTTTTCTCGATGCCAATAATCTAGCTCCGACGACGAACTCCGACGAGTTCGAGGTCCATTTCTTCCCAAAACCTGCTGCAGTGCATCTGGGTAAGTTATTATGTATATTTGTGAGCCCCAACCCTTGCCATCCTTTGTGCATGCATGTCTGGTTCCGACGACGAACTCCGGCGAGTTCGTGGGTGTGTGTGTGTGTGTACGGGGTGCAGGCGTGTGTGCTGTGTGTGCGCGTGAACCGTGTGTGTGTGTGTGAGCATGCTGTGCATGCCGTGTATGCATGCTGCGTGTGTGTGTGTTTATATATGTATATATATATATATATATATATATGCATGGGTGTGTGCAGCGCATGCTTATGCCGGCATGCTGCGTGTGTATGTGTTTATATATGTATATATATATATATATATATATATATATATATGCATGTGTGTGTGCAGCGCATGCTTATGCATGCTCTGTGTGTGTGTGTGTGTTTATATATGTATATGTATATGCAAGTGTGTGTGTGCAGTGCATGCTTTGCATGTGTGTGTGTGTTGGTGAGTATGGGTTTGGGCTTAAGCCCAAACCACCTCTTGTCCCTAACCCACTCAACCCAAAACCCATTTTCATTACCTAAAATTCCATCTTTTGGTAGTTTATTAAATGGGAACTTTAACGAAAAGCACCCGGTACTGTTCACTTTAACGAAAAACCATATTTTTACACTAAAAAGTCAATCCTGGTACTATTCACTTTACCATTTATTTTGTCCTTATCATTAAAACTCAAAGTTTTCAAACCCTTTTCATTAGTTTTCCTTTATTAAATTGTACATTTTCATGCTTAGGTGAAGTTGCTAGTGGAGACTTCCTTAATCTTTTTCTACACAATTCTGCTGCTTCGGAGTATCTGTGAGTGGACCACCTTCGAAAATTGCATGTTTTATTGATAGAATTGCATAATTTAATAGCATGCCTTGCAGAATTATTGATTTGAGGAATACTTTACAGGAAGCATGATGATTTAATTATGATTGATTATATATATTTTGAACTATTTTCATTATATTGTATTTTCTATATAACCCCCTCATTCTGGTAGACTATCTGATCGATGACGATAGGATGCTAAGAATGTGTTTCAAATGACTTTCGAACACCTCTTCGTAGTATAGAGGATCGATGAATTTATGCTACGAAGTTGTATTTTAGAGATGAATTATGTTTTGTGCGTACCTAGTGAACACTATGCCGTCTGGAGCGAGAATCTGGTGTTGGCATTGAGGCCGGGAGAAATAATCCCTAGCGAAAGGCTGAGGGACACAGAGACAGGCATTGGGCCGGGAGGGAGATATCTCTGGCTACGGGCACAGAGACTGAGGTGCAGGCATTGGGACAGGAGTATTGTTATTCAGTGCACTCACTAGCAGCACAACTTGTGTTATGCTTCCTGATATGATTTCTAATATGATTTTCTGAGATTGATTTGCAGAGAGATATATGAATTATTTTTATGGCATGCTAGAGGTTTTGAGAAACCTATCACTTATTATTTTAGTAGTTTTCATTATCTTAACTGTGGGGGTTAATATGTTTATAATTGTTTTCGTATTATGTATGTATATAAACTTGGTCTACTCACCCTTGTTTTGCGCCCCCATTCAGGTCTTAGGGACGAGGACTACAACGCAATATACGAGGCATTCCCCTACCAGTAGCTGCGTTCATTTTCTTTGTGTGAAATCTGTAATAGTCTTTCCTTTTGAAATCTCGAATTAGAACATGCTCTGTGCACTCTAGTCTCTTTCTTAAGCACTGTTTATTTCCTTTAGACCTTCTGAGAATTATATTTATATTTTCTCCTAATATTTACTCTTGTATTCAATAAATGGCTTTCGTCACCTCGGATGTCGGCCAACACGTGCGTATCCTGATATTCGGGGAATATCGGGGTCGGGGCGTGTCAATTTATATATCTTCAAAAATTCCAATCATGATATGAGATTGTAATGTTGTTGATGTTGCAGTGTGAAAAATAAAATGCGTTAATTCTTGGTAAACGGACGACTGGAATTTTGAGAAGAATTCTGAGTTTCAACTTTCAAAGAAAAGACGAGAGGAGAGAGGTATAAAACGTTGTTTTAATTGCATTTTTTTTTTTAAATTGAGTTACTTAGAGTGCCCCGCATGCAAAACTGTTTGAGTGGGAAAACATGCATCTAGCATCTCTCCCCACTATTTTATGACATTTTGCCTTTCCAATTTTCTTTAGCCAGATTGACTGCATACATTTCTATCACCCGTAATAATGGAACACTAATATAAATAGAAAGTGGAAGAGACTTTTCAAAAGTACTTGCACGTTGATTAACCATGAGTTTCGTTTTTGTTTTTTGTTTTATTGTTTAATTATATTTGTCATTTAGTATTTAGTATTAAGATCCAATGTTATTTCTCTTCATTTGTAAGTAGAAAGTTTTAAGCTTGATTTTCGTCAAAAACAAATTTAAACTATATTATTGCTAGCTTATTGTGAAACTTAGCCCACTTCCTCTACCGTTAGTGTAGATAATATTATTTGTTAAAATGTCAAATTGGATTCATGGTCCCCATGGTGATAAGGTATTCAGAAAATTGCTCCTGTGGTAAAAAAATTAGGATTTAAATCCTTGTGGTGAAGGTTATTAGCAAATTTAACCCAAACGTGAGATTTATGTTAAATCTCAATTAAATGTAGGGATAAAAGTGTCCTACCACTCTTTCTGTTTGGCCTTCTTCTCTCTTCCCTCCTTCTGTCTGTGTTATTGTACCTCCTCTCGGCTCACTCTCCAGGCTCTCACACATTTATTCTCTATTAGCCATTTTCTTTCTATCTCTGTAATCTTAAAAATGTAGGAATAACATTATTCGAATGCTTACGAAAAAAATTACACCTTTAATGAAAGTAAGACCACAAGACATTACCCCAAAAGAAACCCATTTATGAACGTACCAATAATTTTCAGTTAAATATTCAAACGAAGAATTGCAAACTTCAAGCATTAAAATTAAACTCTAACAAACTTCAAGCATTAAAATTAAACTCTAACAAAGCAATAACAAAAGGAGATTAAAAGCCAATTAAGCAAACACTCGCCTACAAATCCAATGATTTCAACAATTTACACTTATTAGCAAAATTAGACCGATACTGGAGGCATTGGAGCACTAGATTAAGCTCAACTTTTCGAGCATGGGTAATATGTCGCTGATAGCAATCATACCGGCGTCCGATAAGCTATTCAAATCAAGCATGTTGTTGTCAGAGCCATTGGCAGAATGTAACCTCACTGACGAAAGGTTAAGGCGCTCGTCAATGTGAACAGTGTAGACATTGCGGAATTGGTGGCGAGGAGGTCGACGATGAGGTCCGGGCTGCCGATGGTGCCGATGTAGAGGGCAGTGCTGCTGAGGCACTTGAGGGCGAGCTAGCGCTTGCAGACGAGGGAGCAGGCATCATGGCTGGGCTTGGAGTCAAGTTGCCGGAAGACCTCAACGATCAGCTTGTGATGAGACACGTGTTGATCTGATCGTATCCTTGCATTGCACCGTAGAGGTATAATTACATAGACACAGAGAAAGGAATAGAAGGCTAGCAGAAATAAAGAGTGGTTGGACATTTTATCCTTATACTTAACCGAGTTTAACAGAAGTTTGTTTTTTGGGTTAATTTTGCTAATAATCTTCACCACAAGGGTTTGAATTCTAATTTTTTTACCACATGGGCAATCCTCCAAATAACCTGTCATCACTAACCTCGGTAATGTTTATACCTCTTTAAGGAATCAATGCCTTTACCAAAATTGAAATTACATATAAACTAGAAACGCAAAAGAAAATATCATTTTATATGTAATGAAGATCCAAGTATGGCTAAACAATCACATTACAAAATGAACAACAACATGTGGGGAAATTTTATAGTTCGGCACAAATATAAAAAATGAACAACATGTGGGAAATTTTATAGTTCGGCACAAATATAAAAATGAACAACAACATGTGGGAAATTTTATAGTTGGGAAATTTTATAGTTCGGCACAAATATAAAAATGAACAACAACATGTGGGGAAATTTTATAGTTCGGCAATTGGATCATATGTACATGTAGATCAAAACTGGGAATAAAAAGAAAAAGCTAAGTAGACTTTTTTAAAGTGTGAGTCTCTACCACCTCATGTAATTTGTCTAATATTTTATAATGTTGGCACAATAATTATTTCAAAAACATTAAACGGCAAAAAATGGATGAAAAATAACTCTTTTTAGTTTTTAGAAAGCCTGGTCAACATTTTTCAAAAAAAAAAAATTCTACCCGCTCTCCTGATTTATGGAGGCTAATAAATCAGTCATAGGTCATATAATGGAGGGGGAGGACCTCCAAAACGAGAAACTTTTAGTTGTTATAGGAATACGGATGGTACACCACATGTTTTTATGCAAGTGGTGGAAAATTTTAATTTTTAAGTTATTAACATTTTTAGCACACATAACCCACCATTTATATAAAGAAACGTGGTATACCACCTCGTGTGACGATCACATTGAAAAAATGTCTCTTCCGAAACCAGTCCAGCGGGTATAAAAGCCACCTTCCCATGAATCCGTTGGACCAAAAACGAAAACAAGACAATCTCATCCAATTGTCACTGAAATTCAACGGCACGATGGCGAGCAGTCCGACGGTTGATGCCAGAAGCGGCTTCTGCAGTTCCAATTCCGTATTCTACAGCAAGCGCAAGGCCATAACACTACCGCCCAGCGATTATCTCGACATCACAACATTCATATCGTCTCAAGCCCACCGAGGCAATGTGGCCTTCATCGACGGCTCCACCGGCCAACAACTCACCTACGTTCAATTATGGACTGCCGTCGATTCAGTTGCCTCGTCTCTCTCCGACATGGGCATCCGAAAGGGCCATGTCATCCTCCTCCTGTCCCCGAACTCCATCTTCTTCCCGGTGGTCTGCCTGGCCGTGATGTCGCTGGGTGCGATCATAACAACCACCAACCCACTCAACACTACTCGGGAAATCACCAAGCAAATGGCCGATTCCAAACCGGTACTCGCCTTCACTACTCGCCAGCTCATCCCCAAACTCGCCGGTCCAAAACCTCTCCCCATCGTCCTCATTGATGGCGAAATCAATACTCCTGTTAGTAACAAAAATATTGCGTCTACCTTGGGAAAGATGATGGCGAATGAGAAACGTGATGGATTGAAATCGAGGGAAGTGATCAACCAGGACGACACGGCGACTCTGCTCTACTCGTCGGGAACGACGGGGGCGAGTAAAGGCGTGGTGTCGTCTCACAGGAATCTGATAGCGATGGTTCAGAGCGTTAAGGGCTGGTTATATTTGGACGATACCCACCAAACGTTCCTCTGCACGATTCCAATGTTCCACATCTTCGGCTTGGCGGTGTTCGCTGCGGGCCTCCTTTCCTTGGGGTCGACCATCGTGGTGCTCTCCAAGTTCGAGATGCATGACATGCTGTTGGCCATTCAGAAGAACCGTGTGAGCTACGTGCCGGTGGTGCCTCCCATTCTGGTGGCGCTAATCAACGCCGCCGACCAGGTGAAGGCGAAGTATGATCTGAGTTCGCTGAGGTGGGTGTTGTCGGGTGGCGCCCCACTGAGCAAGGAAGTGACCGAGGGGTTCTTGGACAAGTATCCAATGGTGACAATTCTTCAGGGTTACGGGTTGACGGAATCGGCCGGGGTCGGAGCTTCAACGGAATCGCTGGAGGAGAGTCGCAAGTACGGTACGGCGGGGCTGTTGTCGGCGAGTATGGAGGCTATGATTGTGGACCGGGACAGCGGTAATCCACTACCGGCGAATAAGACGGGAGAGCTTTATCTCAAAGGTCCCTCAATAATGAAAGGTGTGCGCGATTTATTCCTTCAAAACCACCGAATCAAATGTTTTGGATCTTTAAAATTTAATTTAATTGTTAAAAATAGAGAAGTTATTATAAAAATTTATTTTTTGACTATTTGATCAAATTTGAAGGGTCTGAATCATTTAATTTGATGATTTTAAAAGAAAAGATCCAAAGTTGATCTATTTTGTATTTTCCCTTTTTAGTTCGTGCGTTGGCTGATTGCCTTAATTACCAATCTTTTTCATTTTTTTCGTTTTGCTTTTCTTAATTACCATTTCTTTTGTGACAATTGAAAACTAATTTTTTAGACTAAATTTGTAATTCATGTTATTTGTTATTAATAGAAAATAAACACGTTAGTTCATACTATCCAATCATTGATAATCACGACATATGATTTAAAAATTTTGGTTTAAATATATGATATCCCTTGCATTAACCATTTTCGTTTTTTTTTTGTTTTATACATTAGATCTTACTTAATAGGATAAGACTTTGTTGTTAGTGATGATAATAATGTGACCAGTGTTACTAAGAAATTGATAACTGATAATACGAGCCAGATACATAAATGTTAAAACTATGTAAATTATTTGAGGACGATGAAATTATGAAAAAATAGTTACATATTTGGATCGTCTTGAGTAAACTGAATATTATTGTACATGAAGTTGAAATGAGTTTAATATACTTGTGAAGTCGGAGGGTGAATTAGTTTATAATATATTGTTGTGTGCTTGCTCGGTACAATTGTATTTTCAGGGTATTTTAATAATGCAAAAGCAACTGCATCAACACTCGATTCAAAAGGATGGTTAAGAACCGGAGATTTGTGCTACATCGATGAGGATGGATTCATTTTTGTGGTTGATAGGTTGAAGGAGCTCATTAAGTACAACGGATATCAGGTGCATACATGCAAATACGGGATCATATTTTACTTGCAATTTCGTATATGAACTTGTTTTCACAAGTAATATATTTATCGGAAAAAAAGTAAACAAAAACGCATCAACGGCATGCATGTTGTAATTTGATAAAAAAAAAATTACTTTGTCAATGATTTAGGTGGCCCCTGCTGAACTGGAGGCTTTGCTGCTCACGCATCCCGAAATTGTTGATGCTGCCGTTATACCGTAAGCTCTTCACGAGATTCTCTCCGGATTTCTTCCACTAAGGTTACCGCATCAAGTGATATGGACTTTTAAAATTTCATCTAACGATCTATCTGTTTTGATATCTTAAAAGCTATAATAATTTTTTACCGTTTGATGATATTTCAAAAGTCTGGATCACTTAATCTGGTGGCCTTGATGGAAGAGATCCAGAGATGATCTCTCTCTTCTTAGCTTTCCATTTTAATGTCAAAGTAATACTTTTCCAGTACTTGATGATTGTATGTATGTATGTGTTGTTGGCAGATTTCCAGATGAAAAGGTTGGACAGCATCCAATGGCATATGTGGTAAGAAAAGCCGGAAGCAGTTTAACGGAGAGCGGAGTGATGGAGTTTGTGGGCAAGCAGGTGGCTCCCTACAAGAGAATTAGGAGGGTGGCATTTATAGATTCCGTGCCTAAGAATCCATCTGGCAAGATTCTCCGGAAGGATCTCATCCAGATTGCAACTTCTTCTTCCAAACTTTGAGCAGTTGTAGTACTAGTGCTACATTTATGAATAATTTGCAATTGAGAGAGTGGTGGTATAACATTATCAGCTCACTTGCTTTTCAGATTCTGAGCCCATTTAGTTCTTTGATTTATAGCAGCTAGCGTGGCCGGATTTTTTTGCAGACTATTTTGTGGCGCAAATTAATTAATTTTATCTTAACTTGCCTTATCTTTTGTTTTAAATCGCATGCAACCTGTTGTATATTGTATCTTATTCACAAATTTCAATCATTAATATCAAATTTAAGATTAAATCAACCGTTAATTATTGCTTATTGGGTAACCAAGAGAACAAAATCTCATAAAACATATACTGTTCGTGCACGTGATGAGTTATTTTGGGGCATGAAAGTGATTTTGTTGCTTGTAGACCTGAGTGGCCCAATTTATACACCCTTTTAAATTGGACCATACATTTGGCCCAGAATAGTCTTATCTCCTTTATTAATCATTTGCTAAACATGTAGTTGTGGGTCTGCTGCGCACTTCTCTTCTTCACCGCATGCCCAAACTTGGGTCGTCTCACAACCTCTTTTCTGGGCTTCTTAGCGATCCCAGGACCTATTAAAATTAAAGTGATTTTCCTAGAATGGCTTCCCACATACCCAACAACTTATTTTAATTCTTTAATGGCATGTTTACGTAAGGGTAATCGGAATAAAGAAAGGGAATTGAATTCCGATTACGGAGTATTCCGGTGTTTACTAAATATTAAGGAATCAAAAAAGTGGTGGAGCCCACACGAAACAAGGAATCCAATTCCTGAAATTGGAGGAACCGGATTCCCTAGTTTTGTGAGGTATTTGAATTCCCTAAGGGCAAGGGAATCAGGAATGCATATTTTATTCCAATTATGCCCTCACTTGTTTCTTATTATCCCAACATTGCCCTTCATTTGACACTCATTATGTCATTTTTAATAAATAAATAAAACCTATTTATATTTTTTATATAGATAATTATTTATATAAATTTAATTTAAGAATTTAATTTAATTAATTAGTATGAAAATAATTTATTTATGTAAGGGCAATTTAGTCATCAACTTAGTTTTCATTCCGATTTGAAGTGAATTAGTAAACAACTTATATAGACTCAATATCATTTTTGCCATCTTTTAATAAATAAATAAAACCTATTTATACATGCTTATATAGATGAATTTTATTATATAAATTTAATTAAGAATTTAATTAAATTATTAGTATGAAAATAATTTATTTATGTAAGGGCAATATAGTAATCAACCTAGTTTTCATTCCGATTGAAATGAATTAGTAAACAACTTATATGGACTCAACATCATTCCTACTCCGATTCCTGACAGTTTTAGTAAACAACTTCAACAGGAATCTGATTCTGATTCCACCTCATTTCAATTCCTCCTCAATCCAATTCCCCCTCAATCCAATTCCTCTCAATTTGATTACGGATTAGTAAACGCGCCATAATTGTGGCTGTCTTGGAACCCACATGTTTTCATGGTGCAGTGACACTTCTTTATGTTTTGGTTTTCCTTCCGGACAATAGTTTTCAATTGCATTGATAACTAGCTGCTTCTTATTCTTTTGAGTTAGTTTTTCATCTTTCCTTTTGGTTGTATTGTTCATGCTCTTGGTGAGAGTGTTACAACTTGTAAGCTTATTTCCTTGTTAGTGAAAATTGATTCATCTTCATTGAGTTTCATTTTTCTTTTTATTGTTGGTTGTAAGTCTTGGGCTAGTGTAGAGTCTGCACTAACTGAGAAGCAATACTCTGGAGTTTGGAATATTGTCTTTCTCTACATGGTAGCAGAGCTACAAGGGAGGTAGCTTCTGTTGTCAAGTTTCCCTTTGTAAAGAAAGATTGTGACAATCAAACATTGTGACACAAAAGCTCATAAAACATATACTGTCCGTGCACATAATGAGTTATTTTGGGGCATGCAAGTGATTTTTTTGCCTGCAGGCTTGAGTGACCCAATTTATACATCCTTTTAAATTGGACCACTCACTTGACCCATAATAGTCTTTTATCCTTCATTAACCATTTGCTGAACATGTAGCCGCCGATCTGCTACTCACTTCTCTCCTTCACCACATGTCCAAACTTAGATGGTCCCCACAACCTTGTTTCCGGGCTTCCGAATGATCCCAGGACCACCTAAGTCCTTAATGCATCCGCCACTGACTGTTAGTTCGCAAGGGAATTTGCAAACTTATATTCCATACGCGCCAAATTAAAGTGGGTTGGGTTCACTTTGGCATGATCTGGAGGACTGTCTGTCGATGTTCAATCTATCACAATTGGTGCTTAAATTTTGTCCACCCATCCAAGATTAATGGTTAAACTTGATTATTAGTTGTAAAATCACAACTTCAGATAAATGATAATTAACAGCCTAACCACAATGACAATGTGTATGAGAAATTCAGTACTGAGAGCTTCCGCATTCCACAACTTACAATTTGGATGATCGTTGTGACATCTATAACGGGAGATGAAAAATGCTTTGGAATTGGCATTTTGCATCTTTTGGAGGTGAATCTCGCTAGACGCAAAAAGAAAAATAAACGAAATACAAAATTTACATTTATCACGCTGGAGTAGAGCTAAAATATACATCTCCCGAAATATAAAAAGAGATGTAAATGTCAAGCTTGCAACGTTTTATTGAAGATACTCTAATAAAATTAAGTAAATATAACGAGTCTATCTACTAGAAGGCATGCGTTATGCACATTATGCATATAAATATATGAACGCGTTTGTTTGAAAATCTTGCAACTGAATCCTTTTGCGTCAATCAGTCCCCATTCATAAATAAAATAGCTACAAATAACAATGGTAGTGCCTCCAATTTCAAACGCATTTTTCTAATCCCAGAAGGGAGGAGAAATCACATCAATTTGTTAATTGCCCCCATTTTCAAACTTTCTGGAAGGACACTGAATTCTTTTGTCAAAAAAACAGAAAAAAAGAAGAGAAAACTCCATCCAGTAAGTTACAAGGAAAATAACTATATAAGACGTCCACTCACGATGACCATGAGTTTCTTGGTAAGCTACTAATTAATTGAGGCACTCCAAGAATAATAGTCCGACCTTGTGAGAATTATCGTATAGATTCGGTGTTAATCCGATTGGTAATTATGGCGCGTTTACGTATCGGTAATGAAAATAGGAGGAAATGAACTAAGGATGAATTGAATTAAGGAGGAGTTGGAATGAGGAGAAGTCATAATCAGATTCATGTTGAAGCTGTTTACTTAAATGTTCTGGAATCGGAATAGAATTTCATAAAGCTGTTTACTAATTCAGCAGAATCGGAATATAAACTAGTATGATTACTAAAATGCCCTTGTCCCAAATCAAATATTTTATATACTTTAATGGGGTTATAAAGGATTGTCTTGGAAATAAAAAAAAGTAAGTGAGGGCATAAAGGGAACAAAAATGTCTTTCCAATTACCCAAATAATCAGGAATTGAATTATCACCTATATCTAGGGAATCCAATTATCACCTATATCTAGGGAATCCAATTCCACCAATACAAGGAATTGAAATCCAAAATTTGTGTGAACCCCACTGCTTTTTTTATTCCTCCATGTTTAGTAAACATCGAAGTACTTCGTAATCAGAATTCAATTTCACATTCTCATTTCGATTACAGATACAAACACGCCCTTAGTGATTAAATTAAGTATTGCAGCGGGACTCTCTGGAAACGGCAACCCAGTCCAAGTCTACCGGAAACGACCTTCCTCACATATACACTTAACTCGAGAATTAAAATAAACATTGCATGATTAGCTAACTAGAATTAATGATGGAATGGATACCTTTTGAGGAAATAATTGATCAAGGCATGCAGAATAGTCAATGTCAAATCGTTGCGGGAGTTTATCTCAGAAAAAGCAAGCGCCGGTCAAAAGCAGTTGTCGACCCACAACTATCAATTAATCAACATCACCATCAACTCCCCCAATTTACTAATTAGTATATATGCAAGAAAAGACTTGGATCCATCAGTTGATTCAGTACCCTATATAATCAATCTATAGCATTTGGCTTGTGTATCGAACTAGATGGAGGAATATCAGAATCCAAGAAAGATGAGTGCTAGTGATGAATTTACAGTCGAAGATATTTCCACTACAATCGACCCCCCCTCCGACGATCAAATATTCCACGCCGATGACGTTCAAGGGGAACACCATGATCATCATGTTGATGGTCATGATAGTGTGGTCGCGGCGCAGGCACCTCCAATGCAGTCATCATCCCCAGAGGGACAGGGACAGGGAGAGGGCAGTGCATTTAGTTCGCCATCCACGTCAAAAAAGCCCCTTCTGCTCTCTATAGTGCCTTCAAACGTCGTTGCTGCCCGTAGAGCTACCCCATGGATGTCTCGCACTCCCAACTTCCTCACACCTCTTGGTAGCCCCATTCGAAGGGCCATCCGACTTACCAAGCTCGACCCTCAGGACGCTTGGCTCCCCATCACCGAGTCAAGGAATGGCAATGCCTACTATGCTGCCTTCCATACCCTTTGCTCTGGAATTGGAATGCAAGCCCTTGTGGTCCCCGTCTCCTTCACCGTTCTTGGCTGGTAATTTCACCTTTACGTACCTGCCTACTACGTATAAAGTTTTTTATTACAACTGTCACACTAATCTTATGTTACTAATCCACGTTCTAATATCAATATTGCACGACAAGGTTTATATGTCATGAACTTAATATCTAATACTAATCAACAAAATTCACAAATTATAACATCAGCGGATCGATTGATGATATCATGCAGGTAGCAGTAGTGCGAGGATCGTATTGAAAAGTTTCTAATAAGTGGATTTTGATCATGCATGCAGGACATGGGGGACCATATGCTTGACTGTGGCGTTCATATGGCAGCTATACACCCTATGGCTTTTGGTAATGCTTCATGAATCCACTGAAACTGGGATGCGTTACAGCAGATATCTTCAACTCTTCCGCGCTACCTTCGGTGACAAAATGGCCAAGATCTTCGCTATCTTCCCCATCTATTACCTTTCGGGTGGCACCTGTGTCGCCTTGATTATCGTTGGCGGCTCCAGCATGAAGCTCTTCTTCGAAATCGTGTGTGGCCACGAATGCACAGCCAAGCCACTCACCACCGTCGAGTGGTATTTGGTCTTTACCAG